TTTTTTTATTGATCTAGGACTTGAATTTTTAACATAATTTGCTTTAGAAATCTTTTTTACATCTGCATCCTGATCTGTGTGAAAAATTTGAAAGACCACAAAGTTATATATCATCATTTATTTAACTGCTTCCCTCCAGAGTTCATTTAGATCTGCTTGTATGTTTGACAAGAGCATCAGTTGCTCATTTCTGGGTTCTTATTCTTTATGTTGCAAAACATTTCACCTGTGATACTATCTTTGTTTTATACACTATTTTGGGGCTATTTATTCTATTTTAGTCAGCCATACCCAATAAGCAATATCGTTTTAACAATTGTACTATGTACTACTGTTTTCATATAGAAACTTTTTTTTGCTACTCTTCATTTGCAAAATTTTCACACATTATTAATTTATAATAAGTTTTAAGATTACTTGTTAAATTCCAAAATTTGTAAGTAAAATAGTTAAATAAGTTCTACTTGCTTGCTATAGACTATTATGCATCAATTTAATGTCATCTGTTGAAATATTGAATAATGTGGGAAAAGACTACTCAATGTTGAGTAAGAAAATCAGGATTTAATAGTGCATATTTAGTATAATTGCAGTTTTTCAAAACGAATGTGTTGTAGAAAAAAGACAAAATGAAACATTCTGAATCATTAACAGTGGTTTTCTTTTTGGCACTATTAGGGTGGTTCTTCTTCTCCAACTTATGCATGTTTATACTTTTTTCTAAAAGGAGCATATTTTACTTCTGTAATCTAAAAAAATTACAGGACCTTTTATGCCCCTCACTCCCGCCCTTGAATTCTTTTTCTGTCTGATCAAGTGTTGGATTGGCTTCCCTCACATCCAGGAATAATTTCTAGACAGCCTTTTATCTCTCCATGACAAATGCATGTATGATTTTACATACATGGAATCATGCTCTAATAATATTCTGTGACCAGCCTCTTTATTTTCAATAAATATGCTGTCAATGATATGCTCTAAGTAACACTATTAAGCTGACTTTATAGCTTTGAGTTCTAGAATGTAGTTCACTCTCCCTTTACTGATGGGTTTTTTCTTCCCTCTCCCTTCCTGCACAGATGCTTTCTTCTTTTTTTTT